TCTCATTTTAAAAATTGGGAATTTATAAAAACGAAAATAGAATTAACGTAAACTAAGGTATAAGAGAGAAAGTAGAACTTTAATCTGAAAAAACAAAAAATTTAATTTTTAAAGAAGGTAGCAAAAAAATTTTTATTACAAAAAAAAATTAAATTTATCATAAAACTTTCTCTTAAATTTCCTAATTTCTACTTTTGTAGCAAATAATATTCAAATTTATACGAGTATTAATTAATATTTCTCTTTGAATATTTATAAAAGCATTTGATTTATATAATGTGCTTTTTAAAAGCACAATAATTTGATCCAGTATCTTCCAACCGCTGCTCTTTCTACCATTGCAAACTAAATCAATTGATTAAGTTTAAAATTTGAAATTTATTGCGATTTATACAATCGTTAATTGCACACTCGCACAATAATTAAGTAGTTAATAGTTTAGCCAAAAAGCATCGGCAACTAGTAGAAATTTGAACCTTGTAAATGCATTCAAATAATAAAATGTTTAACAAAATGTTCATTAAAAACGACATTTACAAACATTACCGAAGTTTTATTTTGAATGTACAAAATGTTAAAAAATCTAATGCGATCAGCACATAACTGACCGCAACGTATATTGTCTAGATCAGCTAAAGTATTCTAGAAGATTATGAAAATGAGTTTTAAATAGTTCTTTTCAATTTTAAGGACATTAATAAGCTTTTAATTAACATATGTACCTAGAAAAATGTAAATTCGGCTCTTAGTAAAGTTTTATTTTGTGCCATCCGAATTATACGAAAAGTTCGTCAGTAACTTCTGGTAACAATCAGAACTCAAATATTAAATTGCAAGAAATCAATTGATTATTTGACTCAATGTCAGATCATCATTAACAAAAATAAAAAAAAAAAATAAAATATATGTATATTATATTGTATCAAATAAATTTATGTATATATATAATGTATGCAGTATACATGTATTTATATTCTGTACTAATGTTATATATTATGTTCAACGCTTTTGTAAATTAACAGAGCAAGGCTCTAAATAAAGAAGAAGAAGAAGAATTGATTATTTTTCGTTATATACGCAAAAAAGTATGTTTGGCTCGTAGTAAATGTTCAGTTGCTGATGCCTGATTTCTTCCAAAAGTTAGGAGATTTGGCGTACGGCCAAATGAAGCTTATACATATATGAAATTACAAGTAAATCTGTTGAATATTTGCTTCAAAATGATCAAAAACGTAGAATAAGCCCGCTGAAAAGTCCAGTTCCCGAGGCATAATATATCCCAAAACTTGATCAATCCGTGACATAGTCGAAATAAACTTACATATAAAATTTCATCAAAATCGGTTCAGCCAAACTTGAGATACACGTGTACACACAGACCGATAAGTTGCTAAAAACATTTTATTTATACTCGATGTGTTAAAATTTGTTGCTATCACATCATCTGCCTTATTGTATACACAATGCGGTCTGTAAAAATATTAAATTAATATAAAAGTATGTAGCTGTCTACATTTTGAAACTAATTAAAATTTTGCCAGTCAAATCATTGTCATATGCATTTGAAAATTGATTATTTAAAAATTTGTTACTTTGATAGATTATGATGATAAATATTAGAGTTCTGGTTGATTAAATTGAAAACTAATTTAAATTTAACAATCATTTAAGTATAACTATGTATATAAGTTCAATATTTCTAAATTTTTAAGGAGCACAAAATTCTATTCTATTTTATCCATTTACTTATTCTAATATTTCCTGTAATCTTTTTTTTTAAGATTAAATTGAATATTTTAAAATTCCATGTTAAAAAGTAATATTCATGATGAAATACAGGAACGGGTCAATGAACAATAAAACAAGTAAGTTTTGGAATAAATATTATAGTCTAGGATTTTTTCTTGTTTATTTTCTTTCTCTTGTCTTATTTTTCCAGTTTCATTTATTTTATTTCTGTTTCTTTAACAAAAAAAATAAATAAAATAATAAAATTGCAAATTGAAAAAGTAATAAACCAGACAAAGAACTTTTTACATATGAATACACATACTTACTTATTATCATATCATATATAGTAATTGAACTTTTATAAATATTATTAAGGAAAGAAAATTGAATCATAAAATTTAAAAGAATTCTCAGTTTATTTTTTTATTATTTTTCGCTTCTTTTTTCTTTGTTTACGGCTCCTTTTTCTGCACAATTATTACAATTTTTTGTTTTCTGCTATATTTTTTGTTTTCTGCTATATTTTTTGCACAGACAGATTCTTTTTTTTTTACTGTAGTAAAAATTTTATAGATATTATCTTGAATGAAAACAAAGAAATAATGATTGCTGGTGTCGACATTGCTAAATGTACAGAAATAACATATGTATGTGCATATTATTTGCGTTATATAAACATATAACCGTATAACATTACCCGTATATAATTATATTTTGCAATGTATGCACACAAAATTATACAATTAATTGATAAAATATGTAATATTATGGTCAAAGAAATAAGTATGTAAAATACTTGTAAGAATTGAAATTTTACTTTTACAGTGCATTTACAGATTCGAACTATCTGTACATACATCTGTATATATTTAAAAGAAATATAAAAGGTGTGATGATTGATGATAAATTTAATAATAATAATAACACATGCACACATACATATTTTTTCTTTCATAAATACCTGTTTAATCATGTTTCTTTTATACTTTTGCAATTCCTACGTATTTTTTTTTTTTAAATTTATATGTCAAAAAAAAAGAAACAGTAAGAAAATTAATTTTCTCTTTATCTCTCTGCACAAGTCAAATTCGATATATTTAAATTGGCATGGCGAGAGAGAAAAAATAAAATACAGTTAAATTTAAAAGTAAAATAGAGAAAAAATTAGAGAAAAGCATAATATTTATATTATTTAATCGATTGTGTTTGTGTGATGTATCTGTAATTAATCATACATGAAACAGGTAAAAATTACTTATGAAAATAAGAGAGAAGAGAAAAAAAGTGTAAAAATGAAATTCAATATATCTATATGTATATGTAAACATTAATGTCAAAAGAAAAACATTATACAAACCATATGATGTATGAATAATAAAAAAGAAAAAGAAAGATAGAAAAGAAAAACAAATAAAAAAAGTTTAATCAAAACAAAATACATTTCCATTTGCACAATGTTTATGTGTATGTTTGTGTGGATGTGTTTATTTGGTTATACATATGCATAAATAAATTTACTCATAAATTTATACATAATATGCAATAAAATTACCTATGTACGTACATATCATTAAAATATAAATTTAAAGCAAATAATCACATTCATACTTTTGTGATCATAAAAGAATATTCTTATTTCCAACACAATCAATACAATTTTTTTACATGTATGCGCACAAACATATTTATATTATTAATAAAATTTTATAAAGAGAACCAGTCATACATCAAGTGTATAACTGTATAAGTAATAAAATAAACATAAACATTAGAATAAGGTATCTATACTGAACTGACTGCAAAAAAAAAGTTATGATAATTCAACGCATTTATAATATATAAAAAAATAATATTATGAAAAATACTGGTTGTATTTGGGTATGTAAAAGCAGAGAATGTAGAAATCAGCAGTTTGTCTACATACTAACATCAGTTAATGTTATAATCAAAATGTATGTATAAAAAGTGTAGCCATATATAACAAAATATAAATTTATAAGTATAAAATAACTTTTCTCAACAGTGTGTTCAATGTTATAAAAATTGATTTTTTTGCTAAAAAAAATATTTTCAAAAAATATGCTAAAAATTTTTTCTTCAAAAAAAATTCATATATAGAAAAATTATATACAAATTAACAGAATTTGAATAAAGTTGATTTTACTAATTTGGTGTTTTAAATAAAAACTTCAATTTTATTAGAAATTTTCAAAGTGAAAGTCTCATATTTATCACCATGAAACAATTTTTAAATTAATAATAATTCATTTATACAATATTATTACATTTAGCGTTTGAGCGTGTAACTCGCTACTTTACTCGTCAAATGAAAAGAGGGTGAATAACTATGTCATAACTGTAGTTGTACAAAGTAATTTATTGAATTAAAATTTCTCTTATTGCATATCTCGTTTTTTCTGAAATTTATATAAAATTTAAAACTTTTTATTAATTCAATTTTTCTTTTTCGGGTGATCGATTAAATTTTAAAAAAAAAATTCAAAAATTCAATTTAAAAAATTAATGATCTTATTGAAGAATTAAAGTAACCATTAAAAAAAAAGGTGAATTCTGATTTGAAAGTGAATAAAAAGTGACATGAAATAGCAAGATACACGGTTAGGGTGTAAATATACATATTATTACATTATCACTCATATTCTGTTAGTCGATTTACTTGAGGCGATTAGATATTATTAAAAAGGATTTTGTCTTTCTGTATAGAATTTCGAATTTCGGAATTTATCTTATACGAGTGATGTGACTAACAAAACATGGGCGAATATATTACATTTTTCATAAAAAATTACATTTTATAATTTTTTTCCTTCAAAATATCTGGCAACACTTTACCTAAAAAGTCAATTCTCAATTAAAAATGTGTGCTTAATTCAATTCATATTTCTTCTTTTTTTTTTTTAATAAAAATAATAGGAAAAATAAAAACACAACCAACCAACATTCATAACAATAATAATAATAACAAGAACAAAAAAAAACACAAACAATAACAACAACAAAATATGGACAATACAGCAGCAACCAAAACAAAGATAAAAAATAAAACTTGAAGTTTTTATAAAAATTTGTGCCAAGATTAAAAACGGAGAATCTAGTTTAGTTACATTTCGACATTGCTCCTGAATAGTGAGATTAAAAATAATAAAAAAAAAATAAATTTATATTAAAGTTTAATTAACAAATTTTTTTTTGGAAAAAATCATAGAAAAAAATTTGTTTTTTTGTTTTTATTTTGTTAATCTGAAATTAAAGTAAAAAAAAAAAATATTGGAAAAAAAAATTGATTTATTTCTAATTTTTTTTCCTCTAACAATTTATAAAATTGAAATTCAATTATACAAAACATACATACATACACATACATATGTGTACATAAAATAATAAGAAAAAAAAAATACATAAGTAAATATAGAAAAAAATAAAAGAAAATTTTAAAAACGCATTAAATAAAAATTTTGTTTTGGAAAATTGAAAATAAAATTAAAAAATAAAAAGTTAATTTTCGTGTTTAATAAAAACATTTGAGAAAAAAAAAAATTAAATACAGAAAACAAAACAACAAGGAAACCAAAAAAAAAAACACCAGGAAAATAAATAAAAGTAAATATAATTTTTGATTTTTCACCTCATTAATAAAATTAAAAATATTATTAAAATTAATTTTATTTATTGAATAAATCTAAATTTAAATCAAAATTTCAAAAATAAATACGCAGATTTTCATTACAAAAAGAAAGAAGAAAAAAAAATTTTTTTCAACATAATAAAAAACAGTATGTATGCATGTATGTATATTAAAATTTTACTGTGTGTATGTTTGTATGATGTACTTGTGTGGATGTTGGAAAAAATTTTATTTATTTTTTTTTTCTTTCTTTCTTTCTTTTGCCAATAATTTTTCAATACTTTTTTTTTTTGTTCGTAATGAAAATGTCAACAATTAGAAAAATAAGAAAACATTAAAAATGTTTTCAATTTTATGAAAAATATTAATTACATAAAATTTATTTATGTACATATACTCGTATATGAAATTACATAAAAATATCAAAGAGACAAGTTTTATTTTTCTTTTATAAATTATAAAAATAAAGAAAAAAAATTAATAAATTTATAGCAGAGATTTTTAGTTTTTATTCTTTTAAGATTTTTTATTTTTCATGTTGCAAAGGAAAAAGTAGATATTTTATATTAAATGTACATATGTATTATATATGTATATATACATAAATGCATGTAATACTTATGTACTTATGAATTGCTGAAGAAAAACATTTTAAATTTACAGTATTTGTCGGAATTAAAGTATAAAAACAAAATTTCTATTTAAGGCATACATAAATAAGTTTTTTTTTTATGACAAAATTATATTGCTATAATTTATTTGCTTTAAGCTAAGTCACCCCCAATTTCGTACTGCAAATATACTGCTCTTAAAACCGATTCAGTTTAGGTAGAAATTGTTGAGCCCAGTTTTAAAATATATTTCTGAATTGAATTTAAAAGCAGTATTACTGTACTTTAATGAACTCTCTCTTAATAATAATTTTGAATTATTTTCTTAACATACTTCAATTCTTTTATGTATAATACCTATAATATGTAGATAATCTAATAACTAATGACGCAAAATCGATTAAATATGCCTATATATAAATTATATTTTAAACAATTAAAATAAAACATTTCTTACTTTGATATTTTTCATTTTTTCTTAACATTTTGGAGGCTTTAACTACGATCAAGTATGTACATTTTTTTTACATTTGTATTGAATAGAGTTACAAAAGAAAAAAGGTGTGACTTCATGTATAGCAAGATAAATATTAGTAAAGTTTAATATAAATTTTCATTCCGGAACTTGAAATTTAAATATTTCTGCAAAATAAATAAGTATACTTAATTTAATTGTAAATATTATATTTTCAGTAATGTTTTTAATTCACAATAATTTTGTTCATATGATTTTGTATCAGATAATTGATTAAGTTCACATTTTTCAATGACATTTTTAATTGTAAAACTGATTAATTATAAAAATTTATTTTACATATTTATCTTTTCATAATATTGTAAATTTAAAGTATATTTGTGTATATGTCATTCATAATACTATTAATTATTCATTTAATAAAATACAAAATGGAAAATTGAAGTATTAAGATTTTGATTTGCAATTGAAAAATTTGATTGCTTTATTTAATATACTAGAAAATGTAATATACTCGTAGAAAATACACAAGGAAAAATAATTAAAATGATTAACTATGAAAATTTTTAAATGGGCAAGTTGATTGTTTAATTTTGGAAAATACTGTATATTTTTCTTGTTTTCCTTTTTAATGCGCATTTACAAAATTTTCTTTAGATAGAAGTACATATACTATGTATATGTACATGTACATAAATATTTTTTCTTTTATTAAGTATAAATTTTATCATAAATCCAAAAAAGAAAGAGAAAAAAGAGTTCAAAATTATTTTCCTTTCTTAAGAACGTACTTACTTAAATTTATATAAGAAAATAAATTGATAAATTGAACAAATTTAAAGAAAATAATTGATAAATTCATCATAAATAGCTCATAAATTTAAAAGAAAATCTAAATCTAAATTAAGAAAATTTCTAAAATAAATGAAAATTTTTATTTTGTCTTAAAAAAGTTTTTCATTTAACTTATATTGTTGTTTTTTTTTTTTCTCTTTGTTGGTGTTTTTATTTATTTTTTTCCAATATTTTAGATATGTAAATTTAAATATGTATATACATGTACATAGTTTTATATATTATACATGTGTATATCTGTTTTTTTTTTCTATTAATTTCCTATAATATTGTTTTTATTTTTGTCTTCAATAATATTTTCTTAAACAGCTGTTTAAAATGAAAAATTTCTGATAGTGTTAGTGGTTGGTTTCTTTTTTGTTCAACTTAATGTCTTAGTGGTAGTGCACATGTGTACATAAACATATCCTTTCATTTCATATTTATTTTGATTCTCTCTTGTTTTCTGTGTTATTTGTTGTTTTTTTGTTTAAAAACTAATACCTTGAAAGATAAAAATTCTTGTTTATTTTAATTTTTTTTTTCTTCGAGTATGGTAAAATATCAATAGATGGCATTTATCTTGTACTTGTATTTAATTTTTCGAAATAGAACAGAAATTAAAAATTAAAAATTATCTTTGTTAATTATTATCCTTGTTAATCAGATTATAAAAGAATTAAATTTTATTTAACAAAAGCCCTTGAAAATTTTACATACGCGCTAAATTATAAATATTTACTCACATAACATGCTCTTAAACAGTATTACTTATTCATTATTTCCTTTCCATTACAATAGTTTTGTAAATTAAAAATATTTGTGTATTCCTTTGTATTTTTCCAAATTATTGACGTTATGGTTCGAGTCTTTGCTTACAATTTATTGGCCCTGCGTCATCAGATTTATTTTTATTTTGTTTGTACCGTTATTTTATGTAAATAATAAGAATTTTGTGAAGTTCTATATTAGAATGTACCTACATAAAATAAGCTTATTAAAAATTCCTTGACTACTTACATATATTAATAATTAAAAAAATAAATTATTCTTTACTGAACAATAATTATTCATAATTATTTGTAATATTATTGTTCCAATTTTTTTACAACATAAGTAACTAAGAAATATGATTTCACAGAATATTTAATTTGAAATTTACTTTAAAATAATAAATTTGAAATGACAATTTTGTTTTCGGCAACATTTAAATCTTATCATTGAAACCATTAAAATTTAAACTAGATCTACTTAATTTTGAAATTGTGTCAAATTTTGCTACGCACCACATTTTTAACAATCTATTTGTGATTTTTTAATGAATATTTTTTCTTATTTTTACATTCATATTTTCTTATCTTTAATAATTATTATAATAAACATTAATTATATAATAAATTTTGTTAATTCTTTTTTGTTTTCTATTTCTTCTTTAAAACTTTGAATAAATTTTCATATACAATGTATGTATATATTATTTTGTAATACATTACACATACATTATATTATTCAAGGGTCAAAAAATGTCTTTACATTTAGAAACAAAAATTTTTTTAAGTTATTTTGGGTCATCAGACAAAATAATATTGCATTTTTCAAGTTCAAAAAAAAAAAATAAATATAATTATGCTTAACTCTACTTAATTATTAATTAATACATATACATATAATTAATTTAAATATATGCATGTACATAATTGTATGCTTGAAACTTTTCTTATGATTTTAAGAGTTACCAGATTTTTACAGAATTTATTAAATTTTTTGTAAATATAACAAATTTGTAAATAATTATTTTATTGATAAGTATGCTTATTATTTATCTATCTGGGAAAAAATAATATAAGCACCATCTTAATTACGATCTTTCGAATTGAATTAAAAATTTTGTTTCTGAAATTATATTCGAATTTGCTTAATCTATGTTAAACAATTTTGAATATACACACAATCTTCGATGTTATTTATTAAGATTTAATATATTATAAAACATACTTAATTTTTCAAATAGAATTAAAAACACAATTATTATGGTAGCTAAAACTAAACATTAAAATATAAATTTAGTAATTAAAATGAAAAAGGGTTTAAACCTATTACCTACATATAAATATAATTAAAAATTCCCCATTATACATATGTCGAATATTTACAACTATGATGGCCAGTCTGCTACCGTTAAGTTATTTATTTCTCAATTTTTTTTTCCTTACTATTTCTATTTTGGAATAAAATTTTATGATTTTGATCTTATAATATTTTTTTATTTTTATTCTAAATTTATTTCAAATGAAAATATAATAAAAATCTAAGAATTTAATATTATGCAATCTTATATTTATTTTAAAATTGCAAGAGAATATCTTGAAGGTCGATGCTTATTATTTAACATTTTACCCTATAGTTGCATACAAAAACAAAAAATTCATTCCATACATGTAGATTTTGTTTTGTGACACGAATTAAAAAAAAAAACTTTTTTATTTTCTATATAAGAAAATTTTATAATAAGTGCATTTTAAATGTATCTAGTATACATGAATATATAGTATATAGAGATATAAAATATAAAATATGTAAAATAATAATGAAAATGTATGCATGTATAATAAGTGTGTGCAATACTTAGAATATAAAGAATAAAAACAAATGTTAGTTATAATATGTACATATAGAAAAAGAACCTTGATGGTGCACCTTCATAATATAAACAACAGCAACAACAATAATAATAATAATAATTATAACAGAATGTAAGAGTTTAAATAGTGCACATTGAAAAGTATATTATCATACTTAACCTACACAATATCTCCCATATGTAATTTGTTTTTGTACACGTATAATTTCTATGTTGTTTGCATTTTTCAATTTTTTTTTCGCTTTTCTTTTATTATTTTTAATTTTTTATTAAGTACAAAACAAGAGATACGAGTATAATAATTAAAAAAAAAAATTAAACTACCTTTGTAACTATTAAAAAAAAATAATAATTCTTTATACATACTTTATATTATTTATATTATACATTATATACAAACATACACAAAATTAT